TTGCTCCTCTGGGAACAAAGTTCTATGTCTATGCTTGGCGGTACTCTAATGTGGAAGCCACTAGTTAAGAGTGAATAAACAACACTGAGTGACATTTAAAATTCAAATTTTTAATTAAAAAATATAATTTATGATTTATGCTTATTATATTATTTATAAATTTTGCATAGTTTATAAAAATATAATTTTATTTATAAAAATAAAATTTTATTTCTTAGTCTTATTAGTCACATTTCAAGTGTTCTATAGACATATATGCTGTGTGTTTATTTTATTAGAAAATGAATATTTCCACCATTGTAGAAAATTGTACTGGACAACATTGCTCTGGACTTATATGTTCTAACCAGTTGGAGACACAGTCAGTGCCATATAATGGCAATTTGTTCATGTATACATCTTAACCTAAAATTCCTAATCCTCCTGCCTCCAGCTCACACTTACGTGCCACCACTACCACCCCACCTCAAGCCTTTAACTGTGTACCGAGACTGACAATTTCTGGGCTATATGTAGTAGGAAAGTTGATCATGGATTACACAGCATGTCTTCTTTTCCTAAAATAGTTCTCTTGATGTAACATATGGTCAGCTAATCAAATGACTACCTGTGCCTCGATTGTGGTGTTGGCTTAGGAACATGTTAAGGAAAGGCAAGCCCATAATTAGAACTCAGATGAGTCCTGCATAGAACAATTCATGACTTTTACTAGTGTGTAAAGTGTCTAGTTACCTCATCATCAAATGGATATTCTTTTTACGATATACAATCATACCAGGGGCTCAGAATTATTCAGCTGCCAAGAGATGGGACATTCATCAATAATAGCAACAAGGCCTTAATTGATAGAAAAATTTAGGATCCTGAGCCCATATGACTTGCATTTCTTTATAATAGTGGTTCCTTGCATAGTTGCATTGTTTTTGTTCTATGATACTGGAGTGCAAAGCCTGGCTGCAGACTACTAAATGAATCATAGTTTTGAGGTATATTCTTTTTTAACTTTTTGATTCTTTGTGAATTTCACATCATGCACCTCAATCCCACTCATCCTCCTGATCCCTCCATATCAGCTCTCTGCCCTTGCAACCTCCCCTACAAAAGAAAACAAATTTTTTTAAAAAAATTAAGAAAAGAAAATCTCACCATGGGAGCTGTGGTGTACCACAGTGTGTCACACAGTATTCCTTTGCCCAAACAGCTTTACTTGCAAATGTTCGTTGCAGTGAGTCATTAGTCTGGTTCAAGGCCTCTGCTACACTGCCAATACTGAATCCTCATCAGGACTCCTCTTGGATGTCCTGCTGTTGCCCTCGATCATGGAGATCCTACAGCTTTGTTTCTGCAGGGCTGGCCCCTTTATGCACTCTAGCCGTTCGTTCATGGAGAGGGTAGGTGTTGAGGCGGGCCAACTCAAAGAGCTGGATCTGGGCCTGGGTGGCAGCTGAGTTGGTCAGCCCACCAACCCTCCTGCACGCATGCTGCCAGGGCAGCTCTCCCACCATGCCCAAGTGAGGGGTGGGGACAGATCTCCTGCCTATGGCAGCTGGTGAAATGTAGGACCATCTCTCCCACTCTCACACCCTGGGTACCAGCTCTCCCAAGTCCATGTCACCAGGGCCAGCTCTACGTTACTGCCCAGATGAGGTAACCACTCTCCTGATGGCTGCAGTCAATGAGGGGCAGGGCCAGCTCTCCCCACACCACCCCAGCAAGAGATGGGGTCACTTCTCCCACACCTACATCACCAGGGCCCGCTGTGGTGAGGGGCAATACTATCTCTCCTTTGCCCATGCCTCAGGGCCAGCTCCACTGTGTTGCCCAGGTGAGCTACGGGGCTGCTCTTTGGAGTGCTGCAGCCTGTGAGGGGTAGGGCCAGTTCTCCAGCTCTCCAGCTCTCATGCCCTCAGGGTTGAGGTCCTTTTTCAGTGATGTTTTAAAATAACTTTTATTGTTTCTTCTTTGGCAGTTTCATCTCCGTGTAAAGTATATTCTAATTACTATAACCCCACGTCTTTAACCTCTTTCTCTCTCTCACCCTTAGTAGCCTGCACTGCTGGTCCACCTTCCTACAAGTCCTTCTCGTGTGTGTGTGTGTGTGTGTGTGTGTGTGTGTGTGTGTGTGTGTGTGTGTGTGTGTGTGTTGTGACTGAAGTCACACCTTTGAATTGGTTTCACACCAGTATGATATATCTCGCACGCTCTGGGAGACAATGCTGACCATTAAACAGGGAAAGAGCAGCATTGACAGTCTTCTGTCAGTTTAAGTCCTTGCAAATTGCAGAATTCTCTACCATTCCATGAAGGAACACTTTCTGTTCTGTTTTCATCTGTTTTTAATTTGCAGTCTTGACTAGGGAGGGGACATATTTGGGGTCCTCCAGGTATAATGACCAGCAGGACATTCACATGTATTGATTTACCTATGGAGAACAATAGAAAATGCCAAGTATTTTTTTTTAGGCTATTGTGAATAGGATTGCTACCTTGATTTCTTTCTCAGTGTTTGTTGCTGTTCTGAATTCTGTGCGCTGATTTTGTATCCTGTTCCTTTGCAGAATATGTTTGTCAGATGTACCAGTTTTCTGGTGTAGTTCTTAGGGTCTTTTATAATAGAATTATATCATCTGCAAACAGGGGCACTTAGACATCTTCCTGTTCTATTTGTATCCTGTTTATCTCCTTCTCTTGTCTTATTGCTCCAGCTAAGATATCGAGCACTGTATTGAGCAGGAAGGTAGAGAGTGGACATCCTTACCTTGTTCTTGATTTTAGTGGATACTCTGAGTTTTTCTTCTTTTCACAAGGCTATAGGCTTGTTGTATAGAACTTTTATTAGGTTGGGATATGTTCCCTGTATCCTTAAATTCTCTATGACTTTTATGACGAAGAATGTTGGATTTTGCCAAAAGCCTGTCCTGCAACCGATGTGAAGATGCTGTCTCATAGGTTGAAGCTGGCTTTGAATCACGAGATGTGCGTGTGTGTGTGTGTGTGTGTGTGTGTGTGTGTGTGTGTGTGTGTGAATTGGGATAGCAACAGAAGTCAGAGATCTAGTAAGGAACGACAGGGTGAATTTCAAAAAGAGGGGATGCAATGCAGGTGGTACAATGAGAAAAAGAGAAATAAAGAAACAGGAAGGATTAAATGAGGTAGGTAATGCGAGGCCAGGGTCGAGGAGAGGGTATTGGGAGGGATCACTAATACTCAAAGTGAAATGCATATGGAAATCTACTACTATAGAAACACACCTCTAAGAACATCATAAACTATCAAATAAAAAGCCCAGTAAACTGGTATAGGTAAACTTTTTCAATTTGTTAGGGGTCCCAAAAACAATTCCAAACATTATACTCTATTGCCATTGCTCCTAGTTAGCACCAGAACTTGATGGTAAAACTCTACTGTCACATACTTAAGTCATGCGACATGAAGAAATCAAGCTAGCAACTTTAACTGGGGAAGAACTCCATGGCTGATGAGATCTCCAGGGGAGAACTTAATACTATTATTCTCCTAAATGGACATAGTAATAAACTGCCCCAAAGTTCTGTAGATTAATGCATCTCTCCAGCCTCATCATAGATGCTTCTTTTTACAGTCAGTGGTGATTAATGTAGAAATCTATAGCTGGTCAAGTTCAGAGAATACAATACTGTGGGGTGTTCTGCTCTAAGTGAGACAGCCATACCCCACCTCCTCTCAGCAAGGCTAAAGGTATGATATCATGGAGGAGGTGGTGGAAAAACTGTACGAGCCAGAGGTAGCAGACCTTTGCATCAAAACGGTATTTCCTGGACATGATCATACCATGGTGCACGTGAACTCACAGCAACTGTGATCTGACGGCAGGCAGGAAATGGGCAGAAAATCGAGCCAGCAAAACCTCTAGCATGGATTAGGGAGGGGCTCATAAAGACCCACCCCTAACTGAGGAGCTGTTGGCAATTGATGGCTACTGGAGGAGGAAGAGTTAGCTTTCTTCAAGGATAGGGCCCTTGAAAGGCTACCCATGCTCCAGTAGATGGTCCTACACCCATGCACATACAGGAAGCATTAAGTAGAAGCAATGTGTTTCCTTTTTCAAAGAGCATGTGATGTTGAAAAAGAAAAATGGTCGGGAATAGGGAAGGAATTGAAGGAGAGGGAAGAGGGGTGGTGCATTGGCTCAAAGCACATTATACGTATTATGAGGTTCTCAAACAATGAAAAAGAATGCCCATTGTGGCTTGAGCCCTCCACAAGCTCCCCTTGTCCTTCTGCTTCCAGAGGCAGCACAAAGCCCTTGTTGGCATCATGCTCAGGGATTTCACAGCTACCAGAATCATAAGACAGAATCAAACTTATTCCCTTTATAAATTGCCATCTTAGGCATGCTGTTATCACTACAGAAAGTGAACTGAGGTACAGGACAAATCTGGACATAATGCGATTTGATCATCCACCATGCCAAACACAGTTGGTCTCAAATGTGTAGCTCAGGGTCAGCCTGTTGACTCTGACTATTCTTACCGGATGGATCCCACTCTCTCAAAAGGGGTGGGGACGATGACTGCCACCTGCACTCTGGTTGTGTACCACTTGAAAGAAACTGACCCATACCCCTTCTCAGGCTGAGAAATCTTGAGAAGTCTTTGACTTAAATGGGGTTCCTGGAACATGCAACTTAACCTCTCAAGTCTCAAGTTCTGAAGTCAGAGAGTGAACTCAAACACAAAACTAAAGACTTCTCTTGAACAACTAGGTGGAATACTGTTTAAAAGGCCTTTCTAGAACACAAAAAGGGTTAATCCTGAGAAGATTGAAAGTATGTGCCCATGGGGGTGGGGGAAATCATGTGCCCATCACCTCCAGTGATAAATGAAGAAAAGTGAAATATAGCTAAACAAAAATTAAATAGCTTAAACATGAGAAGATGTTATCTTCTGGATTCTGTGTATGTGTTTTTATACATTGTTTTATAATAAAGAAATGAAAGTATTTTCTTTTTCTATTTTTAGGCGGCAGTCATAAGTCCACTGAAATCTTCCTCATACACCAGGGGCATCAATGGTTGCAGCTTTTCGGAGCAGGATGGTGGTGAGATTAATCAGTGTCAACATTTTTGTTAAAAGCAAAAAGACCCACAACCGTTCCTATCATATCCAACTAGCAGAAATATAAATTGCTCATGCACTTTACTATGCAGAAACCCAAACAAAGGTAGAAAAGGATGCTGTCTAAAGGTGATTAGAATGTGTGTGTTTATGAGAAGAAGATGTGGCCACTCTGGCTTAGGGTCCATCTGATTTTGTCTGTTTATAAATAGAATTCCAAAGTGAATGAACCACTTCCTCTCTCTCTCTCTCTCTCTCTCTCTCTCTCTCTCTCTCTCTCTCTCTCTCTCTCTGTCACTAAAGTACAGATCTGATATCTGGTACTGTTTAGAAGGAGAAAACGCTGCCTGTCATTTATCAAAATCTAAACAGCTGCAATCTAACAGTGTTAGTGTGTCAATATTAAGTAAATAAATGTGAGCGGTGATTATATTACACAACCATGTGGGCCTGAGGTTTAAACTCAATGACTTCTGCTTCCATTTTAATTTCTCGATGTATCAGACTTTTGAAAAATTCTCTTTGTGTTTTCCAACTTTTCTAGGCTAGCCTGGGCAACAGATTCTGTAGCTATAGGCCCTTAGCTCTTTTCAAACCTGTAGTGTTGTTTATTGGAATCCATACTTTCTTCCCTTGAAAGTTTGAAATCACTTACTTTGAAGGCCAGGCTGCATTATTTGAAAATTACTAGCTTGAAAGCCATAGAGTGATTAAAAGCATCATTATATTTTCTACATCAGATAAAAAAGTGGACAGGAAAATCATGTACAAGTCTGCAATTCCACCCACGTGACTCCTCTTTAAACCACAGGTAAGTGTCTATTTCAGACTTGCCCCACTCATTAGCCAGTCATGTCAATGCACTGTGTATCTATCGCTGGGTCATTTAGGCATTTAATGGAAGCAAGGGTATGAGTCCCTCTTGTGTCTAATGATAGTGATCATGTCCATTAATCAGCAATGTTTATTATGAACTCAGTGTTGGCTCTTACCACTTGGTTGCCCACCAATTAAAGTATTTTCTTTCTCACATATTTTAGGTAGCAGTCATGGGCCCATAAATAATCCAAGGCAGTATCACTTCATACATTAGATTTTTCTACATGGGAAGATCTCTTTTGGGAGACACGACAAACATTGACTACAACAAACTGACCAGGAAACATTCTCCCTTCTGGATAATTTTAGTAATGCTGAAAGGTGTTATGCAGTCTTCTAGAGGATCAAAGATATCAACGACTTTACCCAGCTCTGGAACCTATATGCTTAACACTGTCCTACCAGTAAAGATATGCCTAGCTGTGCGAACAATGGCTGATTGTTGTTATAGGGCAAATAATCACTCTCTGATGGAATTTGAGGCCTTCTTTATGGAAAGGAATTTTATGCCTAGTATTGTAACCCTTGTCGAAATCCCATTGCTGGGGAGGTCATGGGTCCGAGGGTAGAACCTGCTATTGTTATTTTGCTAAATGTCCACACTGTCAAATGGCCCTCTGAATATTTATGTTTATGCCCTTAAACATAGACTAGTCTAAATCCTTGTCAAGGAAGCTTCTTTGTGTAGTGGACGTCTGTCTGTGGAGAAATGCATAAATGGTCAACATACTAGGAATAAGAGGTTGGAAACTCAGCCCTAAGTGAGACATCTAAATTAACTCCACCAGTACCAAGGCTCATACAACATCATGGAAGAGGAGATGAAAAAAGAAAAAAAACATCAGAGCCAGAGGGTACTGTGAAATGTTGCCTTCTAGACACGACATGGCTAGCGCACACATGAATTCACACTAGCCAGGGGTCCCTGAACAAGATGAAACCAGCAAAAATCAAGACAAAATGAGGTATGTTATCTCCATCCCTGCCCTTCCTGACTGTCTATTGGCAGTGGATAGTTACAGGAGAATCATTCTTTGTTGAGGATGTGACTACTGGTAGGTTTCCCATGTTCCAACAGACTGTCCCATACCCATACACACATATATAGGTAACACTAACTAGACTTAGTGGGATATATACATATAAAAAAAAAGACATGGAGTCAGGAGAGGGTGTAATGGAGTATATGGAGGGAGTTGGAGGAGGCAAATGAGAAGAAAATATGATTATATTTTATAGTAAACATGAAGGAAATTCTCAAAAATAAAGAAAAAAAGCAAAAGAGGTCTGTCCTTGGACACTTGAATGATATACCTTTGTATATATTCAGAATAAATGCATTATTTTCTATCAGCTTGGAGTATTTTAATCAACTTCTGATTCAGAATAAATGTGTTATATTCTGTGAGCTAGGAGTATTTTAACCAATTTTCTAGGCGTGACTAGAATAAGTGTAATAACTAATGAGTTACTATGTTTCTGTTTATTACTAGTACTCTCTTCATGGTAGCTGATTCAGAGTTTCTTTAGTTTCCAGAGGCCTAATTCTGTTATTAGGCTTCTATCTTAAGAAAGCTAGAAATGAATAAAACTTCCTGTTTTTCCCTCTAAGACCATAAGAAGTCACATCAAAATACAATCTACCTTTTGTGGAACTGTTTGAGGAATACTGTCTCATCCTTAAAAATTTGCTAAAATTTGGCCCTGAGTCCATACAACCCTGAGCTTTTCTCTCTGGAGATGGTTTGAGTAAGTGTTTCAGCCTCATTGTGTCAAATGTGTTTCTTTATATTGTTTATCTCATCCTGATTTTAGTTAGGTAGGGCATATGTGTTTAGAAATGTATAATTTGCTTCTAGATTTCTAATATTTTTTAAAAATAATTTAACTTTATTTTATGTGTGGGTGTCGGTTCCCCTGTAGTTACAGACAGTTGTGAGCTGCCATGTGGGTCTGGGAATCAAACCTGAGTCCTCTGGAAGAGCAGCCAATGCTCTTAACAACTGAGCCTTCTCTACAGCCCCATTTCTGATATTTTTAATTCTAAATTTACAATGATTCTTTGAAATTTTCTGCAAAATCTACCTTTTCATCTCTAATTCTGTTAATTTGTGATTTTTCTTTCCTTTGTGTGGTTTGACTTGGGAATTTGTGTTCCTGTTTAGATTTCCTAAAAACCAACTCTTTGATTGAGTCTGTGTGTTTTTTTCTTTAGTTTCTATTTCATTATTTTATGCCCCACTCTTTACCATTTCTTGCAATTAATGCAGTTAGATTTGGCTTGTTCTTGTTTTCCTGGTACCTTAAGGCATATCACTAGGCCATTTAATTGATATCTCTAAATTTTTAATGTAAGCATAGAGAGCTATAAACTTTCCTCTTCTAACTGCCTTAGCCACATCCCAGGGGTTCTAACAAGCTGTGCTCTACTTTCTGTTCAACTCTAGGAATGTTTTCATTTCCTTTCTGATTTCTTCAATGGCCCTATTCATCCAAAATGCATTCTTGAGTCTCCAAATACTCATTCATTTTCTGTGGTTTCTCTTTCTATTAATTTCTAGTTTTATCGCACTATTATCTGATACAATATGAGGAATTACATTAGTTATTTATGTTTGTTACAGCTTGCTCATGGACTACATTGTGATGAATTTTAGAGAAGGCTCTTTTGGCTGCTGAAGAGAATACATATTATGTATCTGTTGGGTGCAAAGTTCCATAGACATCTATTAAATTCAATAGATTTATGGCAGAGTGTAGCTCTCAGCTGTCTTTGTTGAACTTTAGTTTGAAAACCTGTCTGACCTTCATGATTTTTAGTTTTTGTTTTATAAATAAACATTTATAAAATAAATAAAATATAAACTGAACATAATATAAATGTTTCTTTATAAAATAAATGTTTTATTTGCTGAAAATTTATTTACAGTTGCTATCGATATATCCCCTTGATCAATTGTTCCTTTTATTTATATGAAATGGCCTTCTTCATTTTTTAAAACTGGTTTAGAAGTCTACTTCATCAAACATTGGAATAGCTACACCAGCTGGTTGTCAGTTTCCATTTGCTTGGTAGGTCGATGATAAAGAAATGAGGGGGTTCCAACTGTAGAGCGTGGGAGGAGATCAATGCAGGAGAAGGACAGAAAAAGGACAAATAACACCAAGGTTGTTTGATAAACTCTTAAGGAATCATGCCATTTTACAGTTACTTAAATTATATACGACACACACACACAAAGGAAGTTCTGCCACTTGGGCTGATGATGCTCCCCACAAGAACCATAGACTAACTAAACCCAAAATACCAAGCATGAGAACTTTCAGATGGTTGGTCAGATGGCTATTTTTGCTTGTCAACTTGACTACATCTGGAATTAACTAAAACCCAAGCAGCTGGGTGCTCCTGTGAGGGATTTTTTTTTCTTAGCTAAATCTTTTGAAGTAGGAAGACCCACTTGTAATCCAGATCACTGAGGTGAGAAGACACACCGTTAATCTAGATCTTTTGAGGTAGGAAGATCCACCTTTAATCTAGCCCATATTTCTGCTAGCAGCCTATATAAAGGACACTGAAGAAGGAAGCTCTCTCTTTGCCTATTTGCTCTCATTTTCAAGGGCAAGTCCATGACTTCAGTGGCATTAGAGCCTGCTTCTTTGGGATTCCAGCATGTGCCAAAGACCCGCTGAGACATGGAGCTTCATAGACTGAACAATGACTCAATTTTTGAACCTTCCATTGGTAGACAACCATTGTCGGATTTGCTGGACCACAGCCTGTAAACCATTCTAATAAATCACACACACACACACACACACACACACACACACACACACACACACACAGAGTCAGTTCTGTTTTTCTAGAGAACCCTGACTAATACAGTCAGGTTGGTCCACGTGAATTCCAAGGCAATATAGACTATTGATACAGCCCTTGGTTGCCTCTCTGAGGGTGAGGGTATGCCCAGATTGCTAAAGCCACCATATGGTTAGGACACATAATGTGAATGATTCCAGCTGGATCTAGCCTGAAAGTTTCCTTGATGCAGTCTGGCTTCCATGGTACCAGAAAATACTGTGGAAGCTGCCAAGGGAAGGAAGCAATCAACTGCTATACCCAGCCTCAATATCTAAGAATCACAACAATGCACAACATGGCAAGCTTTCTGTAAAGGTACAGTAAGTGGTACTCACATGCTAGTGATAACCAACCGCTATCTAATTGGTCTGAAGGCCCTCTCAACAGGATGGAAAGAGGGATATCATGTCTGGTACTAAAAATAAGTCAACTGCACCATGCAGAGGTCAATAGGTCATGGGGAGCCAAAAACCAATGGATACATACATCTGTATCACAGCTCCTGAAGGAATGACTCAGGGAACATCATTGAAAGGGGGTGGGGTGGGTAAGGACTTTAAGAGTCTAAATACCAGAAAGTCTTCTGTGAAACAGTCTTTCCTACATAAAAAAGATGGAAATGATGACAATATCAATAGATATGCCAGCAATGTGAAATGGGGGAAATTTCATGGAGTTCCAGCCCTAGACAAAGAACTGTAGGCAACTAATACCTGCTAGAAAAGGGAGAATTTAATTAAAAATTTTAAATGCATGAAAAAAATTGTAAAAGATGATGGGGTATGTCTATACAATGGAATTTTATTCAGTTACAAAGAAAAAATGAAATTATAACTTTTTAGGAAATTACATGAAACTGGAAATCATTATGTTAAGAGAAATAAGCCAGATTCTGGAAACAAACAAACAAACGTGTTTTTCTCCTATTTGAACCTTAGGTTTCAATTTATATACATGTAAAGATAGGAGATCAGCAAGAAGCTCTAAGGGAAAGAAGGATGAGGTGTGGGGGAGGGGAACAAACAAGAACAAATGCAATGACATAATGATTGAAAAATCATTACTTTGTGTGCCAACTTGGAAACATTTGTGAAAGGTACACTACTGTTCATCAATGGCATGCACTTGAAATCTCAGCAGTTAAGGGGTGTGTGTGTGTGTGTGTGTGTGTGTGTGTGTGTGTGTGTGTGTGTGTTAGAACTCAGAAATGGCAAATTGCTGAATGCATTAACTGCATGCATTTTGAAGTTACTGCAACTTGGGAGGGATGAAAACTTTAGATGTGGAATTATTTCTGGTTACAGCCTTTATGTAACTAGTGAACTTAAATAACTAGAAAACTGGACTAGTTTCAAACACTGGACAATAGGCAACACAACATAACTTCCTCAATACTAACAGACGCCATTTTGCAACATTGACAACATTTTCTCACCTGCAAACCAGGAAGGAGAAACTCAGTCAGAACCATGTACTTTCCCTAAGCTGAGAAGACAGAATGTGGAATATAGGAAGGTGGTTAGACTTTTCAGGGCAAACTACTATCAGAGAGAAAGTTGTGTTAGAGATGTCAAAGTTTACAGAGAGTAAATGTAAAGTCTTTGCTTAAGAGTTGACCTGCGCATGCATGTAGAGAAAATGCTTAAGGGTTGACTTGCACATGCATGTAGAGAAAATGCTTAAAGGTTGACCTGCACATGCATGGAAAATGGTTTGAGTGTTGACTTATGCATTCACATAGGGAAAATGATTGCATGCTGAGCTGTGTAATACATGTAGGGAAAATATAGAAACTGAGTGGCACCCACCAGAAGGAAGTTGCTACCACGACCACAGCTTCCCAAAACTTGGAAATTTTATTTCCAATACCTTGAACTTAAAGACCGACTGATACAGGAGACATTGTGCAGCATCCTCAGAAAGGCGTCTGTTAGTATTGAGGAAGTTTGTGCTAGCACAAAGGCTGTCCTATATTCACCCAATAAATATCAAACCAAGAATCAAACTGATTCCAAGTAATTTTATTTCTACACCAAAAAATCCAAATAACCTCTTAAACATTACACTTGGGAAGTTGAGCTTTTAAAATGAAGAACACAAGAAATTTCCTATAGAAAACCAATCCTACCCTAACATAGATGCTACTAAGAGTTCTTTGAATCAAAACGAGAAGTCATTAAACAGCAACATGAAGCATTAAAATGTATCAATCTTGGTAATAAACAAATACAAAGTGATGTAATTCTTCTGTGTTATGCATAAGTCATTTTTAACTCCACTATAACAGTACAAAGAATTAAGGATAACTAAAATCACAAAAATTGTTAATGTTCACACAATGCTGAAAGTCAATTTTTTACATCAATAGCATAAAGTATTCAGGGGGAGTGAGACAGCGCAATTTTGGAATGTATTTT